CTTGGTCTCGCTCGTCCGTGTTCGTTCTTGTGCATCCACTGCGAGTTAGTAATCGTGCAGGGTATAGGAAACCAGGCCAACGGGGTTTATAAAGACCTGGGAAATGCCGGTTGATTGAAAGTCCGGCGATCGCAGATTTGGGTTACGTGTGACCAGGCTGGGTGTGTTCGTATAAGTCAGTTTATCAAAATCGGTGGAGATAGGTTGATTTATCTCCACCTACCGTGTTTTCGGGGGCTGTTGATGCTTCCCAGTCACTCGTGTAGCTCATCGTCCACCTATTTGGAACCTGACGTTGCCGTGTACCCCACACAATATCCGCTTACCGTTACACGTGCGATTTGCTGTCCTGGAGTGATAGCCGCTGTCTAAGCCTGTGTTTATTAACTATCGTGCGTACTTATCACTGGTATTGCACTCCGGAAGAATTCGGCTTCTGTGTTCAACTGCCGCTTCCGGTCAAACGAACTCGCGCTTAATCATGCATGCCTAAGGTACACAGCTTTCGTGGACCTCGCGTTTCCTCAGCTGTGTTAGTTTATAAATGAATGACGTAAAACGGCCTGACAGAGGCCTTAAAAGTACACAAACAGCCGCTTCTGTACTATTGTAACCTCAAGAGTTCAGTCATTGTCAAAACACGTTCTGGTGGAATTTACGCTTGGTTGTTTTCTCACGTCACTGATTTTGTTTAGGATCGTAAAGGCTCGGCTGGTTCGCAGTCTCCTGACGAAATTATTCGCGATCTTCGACAACAACTTAAGTGAGTTTCCGCGTGTGTGTTTTTGTATATTATTCGATGTGAAGTGGACTAACCACCACACTGCAATGAGAGCCGTTGCTCTGTTCTCGCGTGGAGGTGCTGGCGCTGGGTTACTGGGATAAAGTACACTCATTTGGGTGGCATTTCGACCACTCGTGAGATGACCACGCACACGATAATTTATTACGTCAGTTGTGCGCTCTGTGCGTACTTTTGCCGCATTATTCTTCACATTCCATGTAATACTTATTTTAAAAAATAATTGAATGGCGTCATCGTAGTGAATGCAAGTCGATTTATATCATCTTAATCGGTCCAACGTATGCTGGAAGCTGATTGGTTTTAATGGAAGGCTCACTCTGCTCAGCCTGAAAGAAAAGGAGCATTTAGCGAAAGAAATGCAAGAGCCAAAATTAAACGTGTGTGTTTTTGTTTTCGATTACCGCATGTTCCCGATATTCCAATTTCCTTCTAGTCACAACTGCCCGTTACTTCGTTCTTAAGAGCGCGCCGGAGTAGCTTCTCGATTTATGCATTTTTTAGTTGCTAAACTGGAAAAATGTGGAGGCAAGTAACTTGAGTTTGATTTTCTTCTCCGCAGAATGTCTCAGGAAGCCGAGAAGGAGATGTCAGTCCTGCTGAGTATGTACAAGGTCATCCCCAAGGACCAGCGCGACAAGGCGGCGCTGCTGCAAGCCGAGGCGAAGCTGCGCGCGGAGTTGTCGGAGGCGCGGTCCGAGATCGCAGCCCTGCAGTCCGCCAACGCCGATCTCCAGACCCGGTGCGCCCAGCTCCAACGCGAGTGTCGCGCTGTTCCCGCGCAAACCCTGAAGAAGGAATCCGAGGAGCCGCTTGACTTGGGTGAAAAGAAGGCCACCGTCGATGCCCAGTCGTCAGAACCCTCGCCAAGGGACGGAGCCACGGCCCTTTCTAGTAGGTGGATCATTTCTTGTGGTATCAACTAACTTTGATTTTGGCTTGTCACTCTTACTACCTCACCAAAACATTGCTGACTCCTCGTCCTCATTAATAGATAGCGTTGGGTCGAGTACTAATGCCACCAACGCTGCATACCAGTCCTCCTCCCCCTCGTCCACGTTCAAGACGTCGATCTCGCCGGAAGGCGACAAAACAGCAACTCCTGCATCCGCCCCACCTCCGCCTCCACCTCCACCACCCCCTCTTCCTCTTATGCCTCCGGTTCCCAGGAAAACGTCCAACCTGGAGGAAGAAAAGAAGGCCTGGCGTGTTGCGGGACTTCAACAGGAGCTTCTGCATACTCAGCGGCGTTGTCATTCTCTTGAACAACGTGTTGGCATCCTCCAGCAACACCTCATCACGGCTAAACAACAGGAAGACGTCATGCTGAAGGAAATGGAGGTGTGTCTTGTTTTTCTTGCTTCTATTACTGCACGGTTCGAAAATTAAACAACCCCCCATAGCTATTTTTATTCTTTATTCAGAATCTACCACCAACAAGTTTTCACGGCACCCGCAAATGCTCTAAGTTATTGTTAGGCCGTGCAAGTGCCACTGTCTGCCGGAATGGGAAATGCCAAGTTTGCATCGGCCTCCAGTTGCCACTAACTGTCTAGACTTAATGTGGTTCGTGTCCTCAGGTTACAGGTCAGGCGTTTGAGGATGTTCAGGAGCAGAATGTGCGTCTGTTGAAGAGCCTCCGGGAGAAGGATGACGCGAATTTGAATCAAATGACCGAGTGGATGAAGACGAGTCAGCTGGCGCGTTTGCTGAAGGAGGAGAAGAAGCTGCTGGATGAACAAGTGCGTCTAATGCAGGCCAAGATAGAGGCGCTCACTCGTGCCATACAAAAACAGGAAGATAAGGCGAGTTTTCACTCATACTTCTCAGTACTCGTTTAATGTAGCATTTTCCCGGGCTCCTGTCGCTGTAAATAGAGGGAGGGACTAGCTTTGCTTAATACTTTTCGATTTGTTTCTAGCTAAAGCACTCATACCCGGCGAGTGATCTAGTCTGTACGTGCGTCGTCACTACAAAAGTTACAGGCCGTTTGGTTGGCCAGATTTCGCCAACATTAGTTTGCGTTAACAAGCCAAAATTTATGCACATTTTATGCTTGCCTCTGGTTCACTCGTCGCTGTCGCGTTCAAGTTTTATCTCCCGAAATTACGCCCTTTGTATGTCTAACGACAGTCAACGCTGTGTGAGGAATCGGTAATTTCCTGCGGCCACGTTACTTTGCTAGTCTTGTCAAAGGCTGTGGCGTATCATGTGTCACCAGACAGGTTCCAATAGTGCTTACGCATTCTCATTTCCGGTCCATTTTTGTTCTGCACTGCGTAGGCATGGCCCTTGCCAAACGCACGAATGTTGCGCCTTGAATTATACCTGTGTGCACAAACGGTGTTGTATGTGTACGGGTGGCTGACGTTTTTGGCCTAACGACCAACTTATGCCAAACTGAACACATGGCGATGTCTGGTTTGGCGTGCTGACGCTTTCGACGTCAGTGTTACCCACCTCTTCTTGCTACCGAATTGTTAAATTTTGTAAAGTCATTTCGTAGCTGCTGGGAATTACTTTTTGCTGTCGACTTGCTCAGCCGCTGTCCCGAATTCCCTCATTTTTCGGTGTCAAGGTGATAGATCCTAATGTCGCCTTACATTCTGGATGCGCGGGCGACCTAGACGTAACCCTTTTTCTTCAAAAACGGTCTTCCGGGTCGTATCTCTTCTGACACTTTGAAATCGATAATCTACTGCCCACTGTAAACAGAACACATTTTCATTTCTAGGAGCGCCTACTCTTGACCAATCTGGAGACTCTCGAGAAGGAGGCCGCGTCGCGCCAGCAATCGCAGGAGGCCTATAAGCGTAAATCGGTTGAGTGCCAACAAAGGGAGGAAGACCTACGCGTCACTGTACAGAAGTACCTCGGCCAACTGAACGAGGCGCAGACAACCGTGCAAGAGAAGGCCTCGGCCTACGAACAGGTCTCCTTCCGACACCAGCGGCTCCAGGTCAGCACTGCATTACCCCGAAAACCGACCATTCCAACCTCATTTCCCCGCATTGATACCTGCGTACTACAATTTGCGCAGGATTATCTGGCAATGCATAACCACAAAACTACAGCTTGACCACCCTAAGTTTGCAAATGATTTAATCCAGAGGCGGAATTCTATAAACCGCACGACGCCAGGGCCCCGGGGGGACGGCAGCCACCCAATGAGTGGCGCCTTTTGTAACGGCATGTGCGCGGCTAATGGCAGGCCAGCGTGAGTCACTGCCGCGGTAGGTGAATGGCAGTTTGTGCTGTCATTGGTCAGAAACTCGGCTGTCGATTGGTTCGCCAACTTGATTGGTTGCCTTCCGCGTGTGCGTACCTGCCCCCCGGGGTTTTAGAGTTTGGCCGAATGAAAGCGGCCGTGCAGTGCGTTGCGGTGGATTCCAGCTCGTCTTGAGAAGAAGCGATGTGAATTGGAGATGGGAGTCTAAAATTTGTCGATTAGCTCGAGATAACAGTAAGCACTAACAATAACTAGGTGGCTTTGTTGAAAAAGCCTTGTGTGGGTTTGTGTCGT